GAAAAAGAATAAAAGGAGCTCTTCCAGCCTAAAAGAATAAAATAAAAAGACTTACATCATTAGATTGAAACAATCGAGTCATTGCAAAGAAGGCTTCTGTGGCTTCTGTAGTTCCAAAGTGTTCGCCCTAAGGAAAAGTGAAAACAATTTCTTAAACTTAAAAAAAGGTATATTAAGGATTTTCTCTTTATTTCTGCAAAAATCTTTTAAAATTCAGGGAAAAAATTTCTTTGTAAACATTCTGCCTCTGTGCTATTCTTCTGGCTTTCAATTTATAAACCTATACGGCCATTTTGTCCACTCCTTATTTAAAATAATTCAGTATCACACACCATGCTATAAAAGCTCTGGAATAGTAGTCTCTAACCTTTTAGCAGGAACTATTTTAATTTCCCTAGAGAACCACAATTTACAACGAAGTAGAAAGTAGCAGCAAGCTGAGTTCCTAATCAGAATGGCATGTTAGTACTACATTGCCTACAAGCAGAGCTCACACCTTTTATATTTCTACAATCCAATGCCCAGCACAAAGCCTGACATATTATAGGAGCACAATAAATATTAAATTATAAAGAACTATATATTAGGAATCCCAGAAAACGCGGTAAAAAGTGGGCAACCAAAAGGCAGGAACCAGATTAGTTATATAAGTCAGGCTTTGGATGATGCTTTGGATCAGAACTTTAATATGCTTAATAAATCATCCAAGGATCTTGCCAAAATGCAGAATCTTCTTCAGTAGCTCTGGGTGAAGGCTGAAATTCTGCATTTCTAACTAGCTCCCGGTTATGCAAATGCTGCTGGTCTGAGAATGACATTTATTTTTAAGTAGCAAGATGTCAGATAACCTATTTCACTCACAGTCAAAAAATTCCGGATTACAGACCACCTGAGACATTAACATGTCAATATTCAATTTCATTAAAAGCAGTCCTCATAATGTGTCAGGCTCAATCACTTCTCAGGGCTTAAGATCTCACATGGAATATAACTAGTTTTCAATCTATTTGTCATGGGTAGAAGAATAAACAAATTTTGATGAAAAACTTTAAAAAGTTGAGGATGAAAGACAAAGTATAAGAATTCACAATTACTTATATCAGAGTACCCAATGTGCTCATCAGCAAGAGATTTCCCTCTCCTTCATAAATACTTAGTGAACATACAGAAGTCCGGGCACTTTTCTGTCATATCAGTAAACCCTGAGTCCCTACTTTTGGACTTGAAATTCAGAATATATGAGTAGGTCAGCTGCAGTAGAAATTTAAAAGTATTTTTCCATAAAACAATACCAAGAACTAGGCCAAAGATAAAACTAAGGTTCCCAAACCTGTTTATGTAGTTGACTGTGTTTATTTATCAGATTATACAGGTAATTTCCTTATCAAGATAATGAAGTGTTTCAACATGAGTTGCCCATCAAAGAGGTACTGGTCAATATAAAAGTATATGCTACTTTGCACCACCTTCAACTACTCGAAACTCTGCTTACATAATGGATTTAGCCAACCTGGATGCAATGTGTGCTATGAAAAATTAAATCAAACTGACTTTGCCTTAAATGTTTCTAATATGCCACCACAGAAGGGTATGATGTTGGTACAAGAATATATTTTGTGTACAAGTGTGCACTTGTTGCTCAGTCTACATTTGCAAACATCATGTCTTCAGTCAAGAAATACAGTAAAAATAAGATATTCTCATGGAATTCAAATTGGAAACCATGGTCTTCATAACACCATATGTAAACCACCTGAAGTATATATACATGTGTATTTGGGTGTGCATGTGTGTGTGAATCTAAGAAACAAAATCACATTTTCTAAGGTCCTAGACATTTCATGAGACTTTTTCAGTCTGAAGCAAAACAAACAAACAAAAACACAAGAAAAAATAAAATTAGTAAAAATAACAGCAAACAGAATCTATGTTCTATCAGAGCAAATACTTTTGTTTTGTCTGCTATATCCCCAGTGCCTAAAACAGTGCATAGGAATCAGCAGGTATATTATAAATATTTGCTGAATGACTGAATTAAAACTATTCCTGAATGTGCATGTCCAGGATTATTCTCAGTGCTTTACGTTCATTATCTCATTGAATGATTACAACTTTAGAAAACAGATATTATCATAATCCCCATTTATAGAAAAGGACATTAGGGCACAAAATGGTTAAGCTCAGAATCATGGTACAGTAGGGATAATATATATGTAATCTAAATATTAAAATCAAAGCTTGAAAAACATCACTATTATACTCCTCCCCCTCCAAAAAAAAGTAAAATATCTATCTGGAATTTGTGTAAGATTTTGTACTGTATTTTTGGAGGGACATAAAGACCTCTAAACAAATCTAAACAACATGTTTTAACATTAACTAATAATTGTTAAATTTGAATCAATGTTGAGACCTACTATGTGCTTAGCTGGTCTAGTACCTCATGAATAAAATAGAAGTATATGTCATAATCCTCGTCCTCAAGAAGTTTTATGTATCTTTACCTTAATCAAACACTGTATATTTTTAAATTAAGTGAATTTTTTAAAAATAACTATACTTTCCAGAAAGTATTTCACTGCGTGTTATGTATTTCTATTCCAGGAAACAAATCTGAGGAAAATCAAAATCCTTTACCTGGTTCAGTAAGTAAAGAATCTTTGTAAGAATATGCAAACATCTTCTTGGATTGATGGGTGTTTCATTGAATATACGAGCCTGTGGGACAAAAAACTGTTATACATAGTATATTTTCTATCATTTGTATCACAGATTACAAAAAATGAACTTTAATCAAATAGACTATTACATATTTTGATCACAATAGCCAAATAATGTTAATTGTTTACAGTTTTCAATTTATCACAGTATATGATACGTTATTAAATATGGTCTTGATTTTCCATTCCACACTAACTCCTTCCCTTAGATCTAGTACTTCAACTTTATGGGTTTTACGTGTTAAGTAAGAATCACAATACTTATCTACAGCATTTGAATACAATTAGTTTAATGTCTACAACTTCCTTCAGTAACCTTGTACTAAACACCTCTTTGGAATTTTAAAATTATCAACGCGTGGGAGAGTCTACATGTTTTTGCATTTTATAAGCTCTAGACCCTCCTAGGATAAGTAACCCGTCTTCCTTTTGCCTCAAGTCTGTATTCTCCGAACACAATATTACATTTCTCAATTCTTATTTTGGGTCATCATATTCCAGGGGCTCTCTGCCCACCATTCTAAAATGGAATAGAAAAGAACACAGCATACTTCCAAGTCATACCTCCTGTAAGACAGCACTCTTCTCCAGGTGCCGGAAAGGATTGGAGCCACTACCTACATTATAAACAAAAAATGTCTTTAAGAGCTGTCCTAGACAAACTTATTGTCTACAGAAGGGTATTGAATGCTTGGGATAGCTCACCTAAGTGACCACTGGGATATCACTGTGACAATCATTACTAATACACATATAAACTGAATAAAATCATTTTGATTTTGGTACTAGCTGTCATTGCTAGTCATTGAAGATCTTGTACTCTTTTGCAGGATCCCTGCCCAAAATGAGTGTCTTCTTCCCCTCTCTGCTTTTCACACGAATGTGACAAGTATATGTAATGTGCACACAGCTAAGATGAATGAGATTGTGGCTGGGCCCTTTGGATTTCCCCAAAGGCAAGCACTATCTTACATGTTTCCAACAATTACTGCGAAGCAGAAAAGAGTTAGCAAAGAATCCTATCAAGCTGGAAGGGCCATGGAGATTTACTAACCCAAACCTCGACCACACCATGGACCACACCATGGGAGAGCAGTACCAAACACTGAGGGTTTTTGGTTTGGGAGTTCGGGGTATTTTGTTGTTTTTAGGTGGCTTGGCATCTTCCCCATTTGCTCTGGACGCAACTCACTTTTGGATGCCTGAGCACTTAATGACCGATGTACCATGGAACAGTCTTAACCCCCTGGGAAGCGGACAGAGTTAAGGTCCCCAGGAAGACTGGAAGGTACATGGTACTTCCAAGTTCATACACACACACACACACGCACGCACGCACATACTGTCCCGTCGAGCCCAGACCCACTCTGGGCCTACCACTACCAGCATCCCCCGTTCTCACACGCGCGAACCCACTCCCTCAGCCACGCGCCGTGGGCCCGCCTCCTCTGCGGTCAGCCCACCCCCGGCGAGCGCGGCGGAGGCGGCTCCGAGGGGCTGCGTCCGGGGGAGGGGGCGGGAGCGGGGGGCGGGGCCGCCGAACTGCCCGACGCGGCGCGCGGGCGCGGGGCCCGAGCGCGCGACCCGAGGGGAGGCTCCGGCGCCCGGGGGAGGGGCTAGGGGCAGGCCCCAGGCTGCGGCAGAGCGGAGCCGGGCGGAGGGAGGGGCGGACTCCAACTCTGGCCCCCTGGCACACCGGCGCCCACGCCTTCAGGTCCGCGGCCCCCGAGAGCAGGTGGCGGCGGGCGGGGAAAGGGCCCCCGCGGCTGAGGGTGGGCGTCAGAAGCCCAGCGCGTACCAGACTCCTCGTCCTTCTTGTCGAATTTTTTAATCATCTTGGACGACTTCCCAGCGCCCAGACCCACCGCAACCGTCCCAGGCGCCGCAGCCGGCGAGCGGAAGAGGCTGCAGGAAGGCCGGCCCCGTGCTCAGGCGCCGGTTGGGTCGCTGTCCCGTCACTCGGGGAGAAGGCCCGCCCTCCCCCGGCTGTCGCGGCCGCTCTGGTCCCCTAGGGACGCGGCCACGCCCTCTCCTCCTCCCCCAGCCGGGCGGAGGCGGGGCCAGGCGCTGGGGCCCCGGGGCTGCGTCCCGGCCCCCCCGGCCCCTGCAGCGACAGGTCGGAGACTGGAGCTGGCCCTGGCCAATCCTGCCTGCCACCGGGCAGTCCAAGCCCGGAGCGGGCAGAATGCGATTTTATTTGGTTGGCACGCCCTGGATGGTGACTTCTGCAGGCCTCTTAGTCTCTGGAGACCGAGGCGGGGAAGCCTGGAGGGTTTGTTTTCACTTGACGACAGTGGCGTTTTTAATAACCCACTGCTGGGCCCTTCCATTGCGGAAGGTGCTCTCCCCTGGCACAGTTCTGGTGAGTTTCTCTTCCAGGAGCGACGAAAGTGTTAGTGGTTCCCAAATCAGCTTGGAAGTCGGCAGGTCACTCCCTGACTTGGCGACTGCAACAAAGCACAGGGCACCTTGGTGAATGTGGATTTCCAGAGGATCTAAAAGGACACTCGGTGTGAGGCAGGAAAGCGACCCACTTGGAGGGACCAGGAAGCTGGTCTTTAACTCTTAGCAAGAGGGTAAATTTTGGACCACGGACTACCATGCCCAACCTTCTTTATAGTTCTGGATCCCTTCCCTTCATCAAAACCCAGTTTAAGACACTGCCAGTTTGGAGTCTTCCCTGTTTCATCCCACCCCTTTCAAATGATTCCACCTGCAACCATATTGACACTTAGATAACTCTTAATAAGATGCATTCGCTTGTATATTCATATTCCTCTGAGCCTTTTCCTAAAGTTGCATGTGGTTTTCCGTTCTCCTGTCTGAGAGTGTACCTAAGAAACTGTTTCTACCTTTGGCTTCAGTGTCCTCACTTTATCCAGATTCTCTCTCGACCTCTCCCTGTCCTTGGAAGCTTCCATCCCGGGCTCTTTTTGCTTCCATCCTTCGCACTTTTTTGATGCAGTATGTCTTGTAAATATCCCTTGGATCTGTTTCCTCCTTCCTAACTGCTATCACCTTCATTCTGGCCCTATCATCCATCTCTTGGACGGCCTCCTAATCAGCCCCCATCCAATTATGGCCCCCATCCAAACCATTTTCTACGTAATCTTTATTTGGATGCCTGGCAAACATGGAACGTGACTGGCTATTGGCAGAAGGAGGGTTTGCTAGCAGTCTCTTTTACTTGAAGCGGAGACATTGTTTCAACTTCACAGCCACCCCCCCCCCACTACTGTCTTTGTTTAGGGAAAGCATCACAAGGGGCCCTTTAGATGCATAAGTAAGTAGGTACTCACTTTTCTTGGGAGAAACTGTAAAGTCACCAAAAATCTACTAATTGCTATAGACTGAGATATTAAGTGTTCTGTTTAGCAATGTAAATTGGGTAGATCCTTAAAGGTTCATGCCCTTGAAAAATTAGAGAAATTCTAATCTAGATTAGATTCTAGATTCTAGAGAAATTCTTTCCCCAATATTGACCTAAACCAAACTGCTGATATCCTACATATAGTCATTTTAAGATTTAACTCCAGCTTTACTAAATGTGCTATTAACTTATGTTCACCTTACCTTGCTTATAAAGCTCAAAACTTGCCTCGGTGGAGGGGTGGAATTTCCCTTGAAGGAAATAAATATCCCTACTTATTATTCCAGGGCTGGGGGAAAAAAACAGTCTTGGTGCTTGATAAGTGCTCAACACTTATAATTGCCCCATAAATGTTAAGTGAATGATAATGTGTGGGGAGCATTGTCACTGCATTCTCTTCCATAAAACCTTATCCCAAACGCCTTCCACACCATGTCCTGCCTCGACCCCAAAGAAACTCATGAACTTCTGAAACCCACAGACTTATCCTTTGGTCCTTCTAGAACAGTTTTCCACAAAGTGTGATATGCATTATACAAGGCAGATTTGGGTGATACATAGATAAATATTTTAAATTTTAATTATTATAAATTTGACTAAATTTTTGTCAGAAAAAATCATGTAACTAGTATATCATATAGTATTAAGAAAGGAACAACAACAAAAAAAAAACTTTTAAAGAAAAACATTATATAAATAACAGGGCAAATAATACATCAATATGGCCAAAACTATTAAAGCGGTAGGTGGGTAGTTTGGGAAACACTATCCTAGAGCTTTCTTGAAATTTGAGGGTTAAAAAGAAAAGAAACGAAATTTGAGGGTGTAACAGGGTCCAAAGCCTAGCATCACTCAGGCCTTTTAACAGTTCTTAACTTCCAGGCTACAAGGAAAAACAGTCTCCAGAACCTCCATAAGAGATGTTGATTTGTCCTTATCTCTTGCCCCCAAAAGGTTATCCCTCTTGCCCACATCTCAGATCTGTAAGCCTTTGCTTTAAAAGAAAGAAACTTACCATCTTTCCTCATATCTCTTTTACAGACTGAAGCAAAGTTGAGCTGGGGGTACATTTTTTTCTGTTTCCTCAAAGCATAGACCTTTAAATACTTCCCTTCACTCTTGAAATCATTGTTGGTGGAAAACCTTAAGAAAGAAAGCTCATTCAGTAGATCCTAGGCCAGGGGGTTAATGGAACCAGTCACTACACTCTAATTCTGGGGGAGAAGAAAGGACAGTCACTAGAGAGTGCTCATTGGTATGGAGTGGGAGTATTGCTTAGTGGAAAGGATGCTTCTAGAACCTAGCATTGTAAATCTGTGAAGGAACTCTAAAGTCTCTTCTCAGGCACATAGGTGGCTCAGTCAGTTAAGCATCTGCCTTCGACTCAGGTCATGATCCCAGGGTCCTGAGATCCAGCCCCATGTTGGGCTCTCTGTTCAGCCAGGAGCCTGCTTCTCCCCCTCCCTCTGCCATTCCCCCACCCCAACCCCAGTTGTGCTCTCTGGCTCTCTCTGTCAAATAAATAAACAAAATCTTTAAAAAATAAAAATTTAAAAAATTTAAAAAATAAAAACAAAATAAAATCTCTTCTCTCCTCCCCACATTAGATGGGGGCTGCTCCTATAACTAGTTTCAAATGAAATCTCCTAGCACATTGTTCTTAAGCTGCAGCCCTTCACATGCACTGAGAGAAAATGTTGTTCTATTTCCTCTCATAGATCTTTGAGTACTTCTTTTCACTCTTGAACATCATTCTCAGTGGAAAAACCTTAGTTTTGCATTATTGTTTCTTTTCATTAGGGTATAAATGAGGTTGGGGGTCATGTAGGAGAGCTGTCTTATTATTATGCGGTTATATATATTTCCTACAATCAAAAAGCTTTTGTTAAATTGTGATGAAAAGAGTTAGTAACATGAATAAGGAAATGATAGGAAGAAAATGAGTACAAGAGCCGGGACTTCACCTAAACCACTGTTCTCGCTTGGATGTAGGATCCTCCAACAGGGTCATAGGAAAGGCTGGTTTCAGCCCAGACCTTAACTTTTTTTTCTGAGACATCAGGGGTAGGCAGAAGTTCTCAGGGGGTTTGTGTCGATAACTTTCCTGCAGCAGAGGAAAGAAGAGTTAAGTGAGGGAGTAAGATGAGCCCTTGCAACTGAACTAATTTCCTGGACTAAACTTCAATTCCTCTAAAATGATGCAACAAAACCTGTCAGAGAGGGAAGAGGGGACTGAAATCAAAAGAAAAGGAAGCAGTTCCCTGAGTGGGCTACTAGAGTACACCCCTCTTATCCATAGAAGATACATTCTAACACCCCCAGTGGATGCCTGAAATCATGAATAGTACCGAGCCCTAGATACACACTATATTTTTTCCTATACATACATACCTATGATAAAGTTTAATTTATAAATTAGGCACAGCAAGAGATTAATAACAACCAATAAAATAGAATAATGACGTTGTAATAAAAGTTATGTGAATGTGGTCTCTCTCTTTCTCACTTGAAATAATGTACTGCCCTGACCCTTTTTCTTCTTGTGCTGATGTGAGGTGATAAAATGCCCACGTGATGAGATGCAGGGAGGTGAGTGACCTAGGCATCGTGACTTAGCGTTAGGCTACTCCTGAAGGAGGATCATCTGCTTCTGGCCCCCAGGTTGACTGTGGGTCACTGAAACCACAGAACGCTAAACTGCGGATGAGAGGTGGGGGGTGGGAACTCTGTCCCCATTTGTTTTGTTGCCAGATGACACGTCCAAAGCTTGGTCAGTGCCTTAAGTCATTGACTGGACTTGCCCAGTGGCCCTTTGAAGTGAATGGTGGAGGACTTTACCCAGTTTTGAGAAGGATTCAGTTAGTGAATCACTTAGGAAACCGAGCACTTGGTAATAAATTGGGAAAGAAATCCATGGGACTCTACCTTCTTTTCTCAAAGATGACTGCCTCATTCACATTCCATTCTCTGTCTGCAGTGGAAAGGTCATGAAATGGGATGTTTTGTGAGATTATCATTTCACCATTACTAAAGGTCATAGAATCAAAGACTTTAAGGAAAGATCTTAAAGGTCACCCAGTCTAACCATTCATCGGACTCTCTTATCCCCTCCACAATATTACTATCAAGTGGCCAATCTTCCTGTACCTAAAAACTCAACCTATTTCCTCTTTGCTCAGCTGTTGGCTGTCCCCCCCACCCCCCGCCAACTTCTACCCTATAGCCCAAAGAGAACAAATCTAGTGTCTCTTCCGCAGAGTCCTTAAAGAATTTGAAGAGATCCATCATGTTCCTCCTAAGCTCCTTCTCCCCTCTTAGGCTCAACATTGCCCCTATTTTGAACTGCTTCTTGTGATCTGGCTTTGGGCTCTCTATTCTCCTGATTTTTCCTGTAACTCATTTGAGAAAGCTACTGTTTATATTCTTCCTAATGTGTGGCAATCTGAAATGAAAACAATATGCTAGCAACAGCAGGACACATCCCATCACCCTGTTAAAGTCTATTCAAATGTCATCACCTCTTCTGAGAGTCTCGTCTAACTACACTATCTAAAATTGCCCCTCACACCCATAGTGCTCCATTCCCTTATCTTGCTTTGTCATGGCTTTATCACATTCTACAGTATCTGTGTGATTGTTTGCTTACTTAAGGTCTGTCTGCCTCACTAGAATTAAACTTCATTCGGGCAGATTTTGGTGTAGTCACTGATATATCCCTACCACCCATAACAGTGCCTGGCACAAAGTTAGGTGCTCAATAAATACTTGTTGAATCAATGAAAGAATAAATGAATGACCAGACTGATTAAATGACACATACTGAGCTGCTTCTCACAGAATTTTAAAGCCTCTTTAAAAAAAAAAAATATATACTTCCTGTTGAACCATGTCTTTTAAATTCTGTACTCGTTCTCTTTAAGCTCTTCCAGTTTTGAGCAACTTCTGTTCAAGTTACCTCAACAAACAGAGGTTTTACTCTAAGAGCACATGTGCCTAGGAAAGAGTCTGGCCACAAAAAGAGCAGAAACATTACCAGAGCTAGACCTCATGGCAGAAAAACAGGAGTGGAAAAGTGCTTGGAATTCAGGACAGCACTCGCTAAGGACTACCACAGCATGACCTGGTGTATCTCATCTCTGGCGCCCTATCATTAGCTTGTCTCCTACTTTCTCCCTGTCAGCTTCCTTCTCTCTCTCTACCGTGTTTACTCCCTACCTTTATTCTGTATGTTTCTTCTACCTGTAGCTTCCGCTAATTCATTTCTACTTCTCTAGAACTTTATATCTGATTTCATGGTCCCTATACTCCCCTTTTCCTCCTGGTTTAATTTTTTTTTTTTTTTTAATGGCTTCTCTCTACCTGTCCTTCCGGCTTCCATTCCCACTGCCTTCATCTTCCGCTTTCCCAACTCAGGTGCCTGGAAGCAGGAATCTGATCCGTCTGGGGATTTTTGGGTGTTGATAGGTTGGTTGACTTTGGTGAGGGTTTGGTTTTGGCTTTTGGGGGGTTTTTTGTTTGTTTTCATTTCGGGATACCAATCTGTACCACGGGTCACTGACCAGCCTATGAATTTTGCTTCACTGGGTCTGGTGTCCCCCTTAGGTCCCAGCTAGTTGTACAAGGGCATCCTTTTCTTCATGGATGGTGGTAGGGCCATTTCACTTAGAAGAGGCTGTGAGGTTAGCCATCCCTGTAACAGACATGCTTGCTCCGATCTTCGATTTGCCTGCTGGAACCCACCCTTTTCTTACACACGTGCCTGCGCATAGCAAAAGAATGCTCTTTTTGTATACGATCTTAGGCTCACTAAATACTGTCACATTTGTCTAGCAAGGGAAAGGGGGGTTGTAGCATAAATATGAAAGAAGCATTCTAGATTTTGGGCACTTGTTCCAGAGAGCCTGTAGAATTACCATGGTGTCAGTCTTTGACAATCAGTGCCTTAACTCTGTCTATTACTACTGTTTGGCTGGTAGCACAGTTTGCTCATGAATGTGATCAGGTCCTGCATATGATTTGGAAGGCTCGTATAGTACCAGCTATTGGAAGAAAGTTCTTCTTACATCAAGCTACACGATAGTCTTGTATTTCCTTCTCTACTTGAGTAGGACAATCCTAGCCCAGCATTCATTCCTCTCTCAGTGTACATTACCCATAACCACTGAGAACTGACCACTGAGTTTATGCTCAAAGGGCACAAATTCTGAGACCCAAGAGACCATAGGCAATGAATTTGTTAACGAACTCTTGTTCAGCATCTATCACCGCATATCAGCATTTTACCCTCCATTTGGAGAGGAGGCTTTACTGCCATTCATCTAGGACCTAAGGAAACACGAACCTCAAATTCACCACATGGTATCACAAGGGTCTGTCCTGGGTAATTTCTGTGATATTTAGATTCTTCTGTTTGCACTTTCACTTCATTCAATTTCTTCTTGTCGTATTAGGCCTGCTCGCAAGGCTGTCAAGATCTTTTTTAGATCCTGATTCCTAAATATCTTTTAAATTTATTTTCTTCACTTCCTCTGCTATTTAGTCCAATTCTTCAACATCTCTCACCTTGACTGTTGTAGTAACATCGAAACTAATCTTTCTGATTTGTATCTCTTCCACAGTGAACACATCTTTCTCCCAACCTCCAAAAACAGTCTTTCTAAAATACCAATTTGATTATACCTTTTATGTCCTCCCACATTTACTCTTTCACATCTCTGTAAATGCACCTCACTTTTGCAGGTCTTCATGCCTCTGCCTTTTCCTCTGATGGGGATATTCTCCCATTCTTTTGTCAGGGGATTCCTCCTCTGTAAAACCTCTCTGATGACTCCCTTTCCACCAACAAAGATACAGAGCTCTACTCTACTTCAGTTCTGTATCTCACATATTCTCTTATTATCCATAAATCCTGGTATATTATAAGAACTTTTATATTTCTCATGTATTGAGCAGTGTCTCCTACTAGACTCCAAGTTCCTTCTGGATAGAAACTATTCTGAAAGCATCTTTATATTTTAGTTCTTTGTTTAGTGTATGTTCAGCAATTGTTTATTGGATTGAACATGAACTTCTATAGTGTAGAACCAAGTCCCAAATGTCTGGCTGCCATGATAGTAAATTCTCTGCTCTGTTCCTCGCCACTTCTCCTGACTCCCAAAAGCAGTGGGTGTAAAGCATTAATAACCCTTTACTCATTTCCCATTTAGTTATTTCTGTTCCTCATTCCTCATTTCTCGATTTATCCTTTACTGCTTTATACTCAACTAGAAAGCCAGTGGCTATTTTACCTTTGGTTAATTACAAAGTAAATGTCTTTGGCCAAGGAGGAACAATTTCTAATTAGGACCATGCAATGAAGTTTCATGACACAAGCTTGTGCTATTCTGAGTCTTTCTTAGGCTCTCCAGATTGTGTGTGTGTGTGTGTGTGTGTGTGTGTGTGTGTGTGAAGTACATAGCAAGGAGTAAGAAGGAAGAAGCTGGCTCCTGAATACCATCTTCCCTGTTAATTTAACTCCTTCTTCAAGCTAGCTCCCAATCCCTGGGGGTCCTTCTTCAGGATGCCAGGATGCTTCCCCATGTGTCATTACCTTGAGCAGCAACTCCTTGGTTAAGTATTTTGGGGCCATGTCCTTTCCTTGCTGGTCAGTTGGGCAGGGAAGTGGGTTGTTGGTCATAATCAGTAAGGTCTTATCCTGATCATACTCTGCTACTTTTAACATGAAGCTTCTGATTTTCCTGTTTCGAGCCAGGAATTTCTGCAGGGCTGTGGGCTTCAAAGGCTCATAGTACTGGGCCTGAGCAACACAGAGGTTTCCAGAGAGACAAAGGGATTAGATCAAGACAAGATTAACAAATCAATTGGCTAGGGGAGGGACAGAGGCTGTACATAGGCTGGACAAATCTGCTCTGAAATTTGTTTTACAGAAAATATCCGAACCTCCCCATCCCTTTCTGCCCTCAGAGCAGTCCCCACAAATAGTCTCAGGGGTGAGGAAATGAGTTGGAAAAGTTTCCACATAAAAGGAGCAAGATGACTTAGTTCTTCTGAAAAAGCGTCACGTCTTGCCCAATGCAATGGGGCAAACAGAAGTTTCCATGTTAAACCTAAATGGCCTTCTCTACAACTCTCTCTGAGGCAAAGGGAGAAATTGCCAGAGACCAAAGTTCCTTCCTTGTTCAGGGAGCCCAACACAGTGCCTGTCTGCATCTTCTCACCCACCAACATTTCTCCACAGGCACAACCACATTAACATGTCTAATAAGCACAACCTTATAAAGGAAAAGAAGTCACAAAAGATAACATGTCATTTAAGATGTGGTGGGAGAAGGGGCCATCCCACTAAATTTGCTTTTCTTTCTATAGGAAGGAGGCAGAGGATTAGAGAGGGAGAGAATAGAATACCTCCTGATTAGAAATAGGTTTTCTCAACTTAAAAATAAATCAGCTGTGGGGCACCTGGGTGGCTCCAGTCGGTTGGGTGTCCAACTCTTGATTTTGGCTCAGGTCATGATCTCAGGGTCGTGAGATTGAGCCCTGCAGCGGGCTCCATGCTGGGTGTGGAGCCTGCTTGGGATTCTCTTTCTCCCTCTCCCTCTGCCCCTCCACTCCCACGCCACCTCTGCGCCTGCATGCTTGCGCACTCTCTCTAAAAAAAAAAAAAAAGAAAAGCTGCAGGGACCACCTTCTTCCCAGTTCTTCCCTTGTCCCTCACCGTCACCATACTCAGCACTGCCCCTGGCCTACGTGTCCCAGGACAGCTCTGCTTCCCTGTGCTACGAGCCTGTGCAGTCACAGAGGCTGGTGGCACCGCTGCTGGACCTTACTCTTAGGGACCTTGGGGGGATGAATCCACCTACCAAATTTGGATGGACGGTGTAATGCTGAAGGTTCTTCAGAACAAATTTTGATTGCCCGACTATATCACAAATCTAGAGACAATAACTGAAATCAGTGGTTTCAAGTTGCACCAAGCCTAAACAATATTCCATTCCTCCCCTCCCCTCCATCTGACTAAAAACTGGTCTCTCGTTTAAATTAAATGAGGACAACACCGTGCTTCAAGGTTTGCACCCTGGGATTCTGGAATGTGGGCCACAGCAAAGAGAGCTAGGTTCTGAGGCATCCCAACAGGGAAGCTTGTACATGGACATGTGGACCCACTTTATGGATGTCAGGTAAAGCTATGAGGGGGAAGTAGGTAATGGCAGCATCAAAGTTCAGACGAGGACAAATCACTCCAAGGCATCAGAACTCTTCCCTCTGCCCTTTCCATTTCTATAGGAAATCAGGTGAAAATCAACATGGAGGACACCCTCTGAAGAGAAAAGCAAGTCGTGAAAGGGCAATCACCTAATGGTCCTAGTGGAAGGGAGCCCCAGGGACCATTGCCTGCCGAGATGGAGGCAGACATATGGAGGAAGGAAGAAACAATGGTGCATTTTGCTTTTTATATATATATATATATATATATATTTCTACAGCACATGATTCTTCCAGAAATGTTGCCCCAAAATAACTGAATGTCAGTAATACTCCTGTCCACCACTTTGCATTTTTCTGCTGGTGGACGTGCTGGTGATTGGCGGATGGATGGAGTGGCGTGTCTTGGTTGTACAGTTGTTGGTCCTCCTGCCTCTCCTTCCCTGACCCCGGTGTTGTTGCCTAGCCTCTAGCTCAGCTGTAGGTCACCCAGAGATGAGTCAAAGGGATGAGGACACAAGGAGGGAAAAGCTCTGAGTTACCGCCTTTGGGCTGGGCATAATCAGAAATCAGAAGAAGGGGAGCAGGCACAATCCTGTGTTTGGATCAGCATTTCCAAAGATTGCCATGCCCCTAAGGAGGTGATATGGTAAGATGGGGTGCAGAGGGACGGGAACATGCATTGAAAGGTGAGAAAATCATGAACGTGAATGGAAAAGAGGGAGGAAGTAAGGGTGAGACAGAACTGTGCCATGAGGGGAGGAAAATGCCAGGGGCTGGCAATGCCCAGGGGCTGGGGGGACAAGGGACAGACCAGGAGGACTATCAGAGCCATGCCATGCATTCCACGAGGAACAATGGGAAGAGATAAATCCAAAGATGCAATGATTTAATTTTATTATCCTTTTGGAAAACTGAAGTCCCTTTGTTCAAAACAAAGATATATTATGAACAATCTGCTTCACAGATAGGATGTATATATTCAGAATCATAGAAGTCTCAGAAAATTTTGAGAGAAAGATGTGAAAACTTTTCTTTTGTAGGCTTTTGTTTTTGTTTTGTTTTGTTTTTTTGAGAGGGGGCTGGTGGGGAGAAGCATAAAGTCTAGCTAAGTCGGGTTTCTAAGATAGGCTTATGGTCCCTGGCTTCTAGCCCTGATTTGTTGCTGATATGTCCCTGTCTCTTTTCTAAGTACTCTTTTCTAAGTCTCTGTTTCCCTTTCATAAAATTAGGATAAATTAACCTTGCTCTCTATATAAATCTTAACCCCTTTTTGCTTTTCAACAGGAAGTTTGTGAACCCAACTTATAAAGTACTCTAACTTGGGGTGCCTGGGTGGCTCAGTCTCTAAGCTTCTACCTTTGGCTCAGGTCATGATCCCAGGGTCCTGGGATGGAGCCCCGCACTGGGGGCTCCCTGCTGAGCAGGGAGCCTGCTTCTCCCTCTCCCACTCCCCCTGCTTGTGTTCCCTCTCTTGCTGTGTCTCTGTCAAATAAATAGATAAAATCTTTTTTAAAAAAAATAAAGTATTCTGGGGCACCTGGGTGGCTCAGTCATCAAGCGTCTGCCTTCAGCTCAGGTCATGGTCCTGGGGTCCTGGGATCCAGTCCCACATCGGGCTTCCTGCTCTGCAGAGAGCCTGCTTCTCCATCTCCCACTCCCCCTGCTTGTGTTCCCTCTCTCGCTGTGTCTCTCTCTGTCAAATAAATAAATAATTTAAAAAAATAAAAAAGTATTCTAACTCTTTCTTCTAATGCTCTTTCTTACCTCATCATTATCAATCACTATTCCTTTCTCAGGTTTAACTGAGCTTGTTCCTGGAATGTTTGATTTGCTTTGTTGAAACCTAAAAAAGAAGCAGAATATCCAACTGTATTTTCTTACTCTGAGGCCTGGTCTTTGGTGTGTTCTCAATCTCCCTCAACGAAGTTTGGGAGCCTGACTTAGAAGAGCCCAATTTGGGGGATCACTAATTGAATATATACGTAGAGTAAAGAATAGGATTCATTATCCAGCCTGCATGTTGGGGGAAAACAAAACTTCAGTTTGAAAAGTTAAGCAAGTGGGACCTCTTGGAGACATGATGACATCTGATAAGTTGAATTCTTGGGGGTTTCAGACAACTTAAGGAAGTGCTCTAGTAGACTGCTTAAGGACATTCTTTTGGGCAACTGGATCTTCAATATCCTTAAAGACCACCTACTATTTTGAATGCCTACCTGCCTACTCTTCTCTGCAGGGAAATGACTCTACCTTTGCCAATAACTGATTCCATGAGAGGGATATTATTAGTGGGAGTTCACAACTGAATACACTTCACAAATTTGCATGTCATCTTTATGCAGGTGCCATGCTAAATCTTCTATCATTCTAATTTTAGTATATATGCTGATGACATGAGCACAGATTTCCAATTCTTAATGACCATGCTTGGACTACTGGCTCTCTCTTGTACCTAACCATATCTAGGTTTCTCTGTCTAGAACTAAGATGATAAAATCACCAATGGCAAATATCCTCATACTCTGTTCTTTCTCTTACTTTTTGATCCCCTACCCAGATGCCAGTTCCTTTTGGAGAAAAGAGGGAGACAGACGTTACAATATTTAGTAAGAAAGTATTTTAGATTCCTTGACTAATTCTACTAAACCCATTTAGTGCCTAAACATAGTGAAAGATGCTCATCAGTAAGATTGGGTTAATGATTAAAATAAATGGCCTGCTTCCTCCTTGGAGATAGTTCCTATTTAGGTATTAAACTAGCTTACATTAAAGTAGGAGCCTGGGACTACTTGAAGTAGACCTCTCTCCTCTAAAAAATGAGGGTGGCAGTGCAAGGACCAAACTAAGAAAAGTAGAAATAGCCAAGATATGTAGTTGGCAGGTCAACAGCTGTAGGGTGGTACAAATCATCCCGAATCCAGTATCAAGTCCCATCCAAGCCTGGCTCACTTCCATCTGTTGCTGCCTACCAACTTCATCATTAACTCATGCCAGAGGTCTTAAAAAATAGTCTCAAGGGGAGCAAGTGACACATTATGGGTAGACCAAAATAAGTTCATCCCCAGTTAACATCTTAAAGTTGGTACCCTTTTGATGTGTCCTATTACCTTAAGCTATCTCATAGTAGTATACTATAATCTTTATTATAGCACTCTTCAAAATGCTTCTTTATTATTTCAAAGGGAGCACAGGATCCCAGATACTCTTTTTTAAGGCCAACTTAAGGCATAGAGTTGTGGGAAAAATGTTCCTTCAGTCCAGCAGTGTTGACAAGGACAGTCTAGACCTTTCCTTTTGATAATGCTACTCTAGTTGCTGCATGAAACACACACCAAGATCTGGGTTTTGACCTGAGGACAGTCAGTCAATTAGAACATTTTTAATGAGAGTCTACTCTGAGACTAGACCTGTTCAAAGTGATATGGGCTCCCATCCAAGTACTAACCAGGCCCGACCCCACTTAGCTTCCGAGATCAGATGAGATTGGGAGCGTTCAGGGTGGTATGGCCATACTACAACATACGTTTGCATAAAATGGTATTTATAACTTAGTGGGGCAAACAAAACTACACACTTGGTATGTCCCTTTTGGCCCATTGCTGTTCACTGCTAAGTGGGCCAATCCAAGGTAAGTATTCACCCAGAGGCCAAATTCAGTGCCTCCAAAGAGTCCACGTTCTGCAGGGGCTCAATTCAATCCATTCCTTCCTTAGTGCACACCATGTGCCCAGCCCCGTTCTTGATCCTGTGTGGGAAAAAGAGAAGACTGGTAGGTGTTGTTGTGAATGCAGAAAATGCACTAGACATGATGACCTTTGTCCTCAAGAACTTAGGTGGTAAATGGTGGGGTGGAAGGGGTGGGGGGGAGAGGAAGTGACCATTAAATGTGAAACAAGAATGACAAATACATGCTAATATATTAGGTAAATCATTTCATCTCTTGGGGCCTTGAAAAAATGAAGAGAGTTAACCAAATGATTTAAAGATAATATTCTAATTCCTTTAGACAGCGGTAAGATTTCCCTACATTAAGACCTGAAATAAAATTGACTCATGGGTCAGTCGTGGGAGAAAGTTGGAGAACAATGGTGCTTTCATTTATCTCCCCTTTCAATACAATCACGCTCCCATATGTTAGGCCTGTGAAGCTAGGGAAAGTGTGTGTATATGTGGATGTGCAGAGAGGGTGGCAAGGAATTGCTACATTTTTTTTTATATAGACAATTTAAAATGGAGGCTAAAAGTTGATGATGTACAAGCCACCATTTAGAGGAGAGAGGTCAGTGAGGCTTGGAGGGACATTTCCTAAAAGATGTGGAGCTTGAGCCATGACCCTGTAAGATGGTGTGTGAAGTCACCTACCTAGAAGGTATTTGTTGTTGTTGTTCTAGGTAGTAAGACAAAAAAGTGGATATAGGTACAATGGGATTGAATTATGGGGGTCTTGGCAATTAAGTAGAACTTTGATAGACCTATCAGCCCAAGCTGCTATAAAGCCTGGGGGTTTGGAGGAAAGATTGTGTTAGTGTTGACAGTGCCAATAAGTGATTGTTTAAGGTTTATATCTAGTTTGATTGTCTAGACATAAACCCTAAAGACAATTGTCTAGAGTTTATGACTAGACTGAGCTCAACTCTGAAAATTCCCTCAAGGGGAATAGACTAATGAGCTTTTCACCCTTTTCTCACCTTTGGTTTACTGGAATCGTGAGTCCAATTCATGTGTA